GCGATACTGACAAGTCCTGGGTTCGAAACCTGAGAGGCGGGATCATGGATGTGCACTGTTGATGAGTCCGATACTGGGATGAAACAGCCATCCAGTACTTCCAGATTTTCCATGGTGGTCTAGCTTCAATTAACTTATGAATTCAACTATTAAAATTACTATAATATCCACAAGAAAAACCCTTTCTTGATTATCAATAATTATCTGTGAATAACTTGTGTTAGGTTAAATTAATTGTGTTTTTTTCAACTGTTCAATTGTATGAAGATAAGATAGAATTGGAATTTTAATGATATTTCAATGACTTGTTATGATATTTGTTTATTCAAAGGTGATAATTTCTTTAACTACATTTTATGTTTTGTTTTTTTTATATTCCACCTACCCTATTTCTTTCGATTATTAACCATCATTATCAACTAATCATTGTATATGTTGTATCTATAGACATCAACTAATCGAATAAGGATATGGGTTACGTAAAATATTCAAACCAGTAACCAAGTTTATGTCCAGTCAGATGACTTTTTATTACTAAGATATTCAATAATATTAAAGTAATATATTGTCTATTTAACTCAGCCTGGAGTCCCTCCGGGGGCTACTTCTAGTCCCAAGCCCGGATAAAGAAGGAGGGTTGGGCATGGGGTTAGCGACCCCATCCCTTAGAAAACTAACTCGCTAACAAAAAACGCTAATCAGAAAAAATTATATTGTCTATTTGAAGTATAATTGTAAGCTGTTATTATTAGTTTAAACACATATTCATTCTGTTTTCCAAAAGAAAAAAATATACATCAAGTACATTCAGATAACTGAGTCATATGATATAGGCTGAGTTGAGAAAACCAACAGTTGATAGAGTGATTACATTATTAAGAATTTACATTTAAGCTTATTCAACATTTTAATATAATCTGTTTGAACTAATGTAAAAATAAGCAAAGATGGATAGTGGCTAGTAGTGGAATCTAGTTTGATGTGTATTTCACCCTATTTGGTACTCATCAGCTGAATGTATCTGTATCTTAGAGTTGATGTTCACTCTGGAATTCAAACCCAGTACTGTTCGCTTTAAACGCCATCACGTTATACACTTAGCTACTGAATCCTGATAGCCACTTACTTGTGCAATGGGATGAAGTTTAAATTCACTTGGTATTGTTTACTTGAATCTTTCCATTGATGTTTCACACTGTAATTGATCAGTCTCTTATTCAAACAAACAATACTAGGTGAATTTAGTGTAAAAATAGATACTCTGGTTGTAATACCTTACAAAATATTATCAACAGGATGTTTAAACAACCAGTGTATAATTTTCTCATACTTCATAACTCACAGATATATTCAGAAATCGTTGATTTTCATCACAGACTATCATCAACTAGATGAGAACCACTAAAAATCATTAGGTAGTAAACAAGTGATTCCTTTTAGTTTCTATTAATAATTTCAAGTACATAGAACTATAGATTAGATACTTTGATTTTGAGGGTTGTTTGAATTATGAGGATGGTTGTAATTTTCCTACAACCTATACTGTGTAAGGATATTTCTTCTTGAAAAAGAAATTGGATCTTGACGATCTAGGAGAGTGACCTCAGTGCTTAGGTGACAACTGCTTGATGCCGGTCACATAAGGTCTTTTCGCTAGTTCTTGATTTGTTAAGCCCCTCATTAAAAGGCCTTATCATCGGGTGAAGAAAATTTACGGGGTAAATTAAAAGTTTTACTACTTCTAATCTAGATCCTTTATAAAAGCTGCTTTTCGTTGTAGGAAGAACACATCACTGATGCTTCTGGTTGTCTGAGAGAAGCACCATATCGTCTTCACATCCCTGTACAGTGCTTTATCTATCAAACTTTAAGTTTTCTACTTTTAGACTTACCGCTCCTCCACCGAACTATCTACTTATATGGTCGTCAAAATATAGAAGCTTGACCACCACATTAATGTAGCAACTGTAGTTGGGACAGGACTCATCAATATTATCATAATGACACATTAATATAAGTGGTCTATAATGTTTAATATTGTGATCTAATTTTGTTACGATGAATTAGGAATTTTAACTAGTTACTTATGCAAGTATAAGTCAGCTTTAGTGACTGGATTAAAAACTAATATATATTTATTTATTTTATCAGAAGGGGTTTTGTGGAGATTTTAGTAATTTCAATAGTTGAAATCATGAGTCCATTGAAGCTAGACCACTATGGGATCGTGGATGCACACTTCTGAGGAGTTCCATACTAGGATGTAACAGCCTTCCAGTGTTTCCAGGTTTTCCATGGTGGTTTGACTTCAATCAACTTGTGATTTCAATGATTTATTTTTAGTCATAACAAATGAATCAACAAACTTGAAATGAGCATATTATTTTAACTCTCCTATTATTTATTACTAGTAAGTAGTATCGAGATAGGCATACGGGGAATATGGGACAGAACTTGAAATTAAGTTTCGTTTTTGATAATTAATAAATTTATTTTATGAATTGTTCAATGAATGTTTCCTTCTGGTATGTACTTTCTCTACTATCGCGGATTAATTATCTGTCAAATAATTTAAAATCAAGTACTGAAAATAATGGATGCAAGAGATTTCTTTATGATCAAATTCTAAAATCTTAGATGAAGAGGATTGTAGGAAGGATCACCATAAATATCACAGTGATTTGAAGTTCCTTGACAAAAAGTGATCACAGTCTATTCAAATAATACCATACTTTTAGTTGTAACCATGAGAACTGAAAAATTTACGGTAAAACTATAATTTGTGGACAAACTTTGAATGACGACAGAGTGACCTTGAGAGTGTCTATCTAATTACTAGGGTTAAATAAGGATTATAAAGGATAAGGATTAGAATTCACAGTTGATGGTTAAGGTTGTGAATTAGACTGATGGTTTTTCATCACAAACTGACATTAATTAAAATACCAATACACTATTTGGCTAAATGGGCGAGTGAATTTCGCGCTAAAATTCGAGACCCGTTATCTTAAATCTGATTGGTTGGTTCATAAATTATAGTCTCGATAAATTTACTACATAATTACTTACATGTTCTTTGTTAAATCAAATCTCAACACTATTTATACTTCCCATACCCATATAATACTGCATAAGATTGCGAAAAAAAATGTTTGGTCTAACAATATCAACCTATTTAGTCTAAGTAGTGTCATAAACTCCGCCTGGAATCCCTCCGGGCGCTGCTACCAGTCTCAAGCCCGGACAAAGAAGAACAATTGAGCATGGGGCTAGCGACCCCATCCCGTTGAAAACTAAGTCGCCAAAAAACACTAACCTAAGTAGTGTCATGCAGAAAAAATTGTAGCAAACGGATTCTAAACGTTCCGAACAATAAAATAAGATATCTTCTATTGATTGAGATGATGAACCAATTGATTTTAGACAGCCATTGAAAATCTGGAAGCATTAGACGGCCATTTCGTCCTATTGTGGGACTTCTCAGCAGTGAGCATCTATGATCCCACACGCGGGACTCGAACCCAGGGCCTTCAGTCTCGCACGCGAACGCTCAACCTACTAGACCACTGAGCTGGCCATCATCCAATGGTGTTAACGTCTAACCTCAACCAATCCACAAAATTGTGCGGCCATCTTCCATTGTACCGAGGTAGATACCTGTCTCTACCCGACACGGATTACCTCCACTGATCACGGCTTCTCACTAGAACTTCGAGAATTCCTTCACGAAGCTAGTCACTAGTGAGCACATATTAATAATCTCCCCAACCTTATACTGGAAATATTTTTTGGCCTTTCATCTAACTAATTTCTTTTAATTTAACCATAAAGAAAGTATTTTCTGATTGTATGTGTTTATCATTAGACTGACAGTATTGGTCGATCATACTGTTTATGTGTTCATCTACATATTCAATTATATTCTATTCATAAATATAGGCTCATTATTATATTATTTGTATTAATTAGCCATTAATGAAATCAATAGTTATGCTATTTTTATTTGGAAAACATTAATTTGAAAGATCTACAATTTTGATTATTGATAATGTTACATGATTAAAAGTGATCGGTAGAATTATTGAAGTATATAAAAACCTTTACATATCTGGGCAGTATCATTCGATGAGCATGGTGGATCTGATGAAGATGTGAAGAAATGAATCAATAAAGCAAGAGCAGTATATATCTACAATTGAAGAACATCTGGAACTCAAAACAACTCTCAATCAATACTAAAGTCACAATATTCAATACAAACGTCAAGACGGTTCTACTGTATGGGACGGAAATCTGGAGGACTACACAAACCATCATTCAGAACATACAAGTATTTATTAACAATTTTCTACGCAAAATACTTCGGATCGGTTGGTCAGACACTATCAGCACCAACCTATTGTGGGAGAGGGCAAACCAGATTCGCGTGTAGGAGGGGATCAGGAAGAAGCACTGGAATTGGATAGGACACATATTGAGGAAAACACCCAACAGTGTCACAGGGCAAGTCCTCACGTGGAATCCACAGTGCCGAAGGAGAGGCGGAAGATTAAAAAAACATCACTCCGAGAAATGGATTCAGGTAAGAGAAGAGTGAAGAACAATTGGATAGAACTATAAAAGACGGCCGAGGATAGAATGGGTTAGAGAATGCTAGTCGGCAACCTATTCTTCATATGGAATAACAGGTGTAAATAAGTATGGTAGAATATTCTGTCTCCACATTCTACTTTGTATCACTTGATAACTTTTAACAATATATCTACAATTTTGATGGGACTAATGCTCATTATTTCACTAATTAGTTGAGACAAGTGTTTGTTTTTTAACCATCTCATATCAGTATTGTAGACAATCACTATATCTTAAAATCATTGTGAATTATGAAACATTGATTGTTTGATTTTAACCATGAACATGAATAGTAAATCAGGTAAATGAATAGGCATAGTTATCCTTTATGAAAGACAAAATTGATCAAACTAATATTATATTAGCTCATGTTAAGAAATAAAACTACAACTGATAATAATAATAATAATAATAATAATACTATCACTACTACTACTACTATCACTACTACTACTACTACTACTACTACTACTACTAATAATAATAATAATAATAATAATAATAATAATAATAATAATAATAATACTATCACTACTACTACTACTACTACTAATAATAATAATAATAATAATAATAATAATAATAATAATAATAATAATATTGCCCGCACATATATATTCAATCTATTAACATCTGTTATATTGATGTTATTAGTAGTGAATTCAATTAAATACTAACAAAATCTCATGTTATCAGCACAGGGTTGTGGAGACTATTAAGTTATTCATTGAGATCAAGAACCGATTGATGTTAGACAGCCATTGAAAACCTGGAAGCATTGGACGACCGTTTCGTCCTATTGTGAGACTCCGCAGCAGTGAGCATCAATGATCCCGCTCGCAGGATTCGAACCCAGTGCCTTCACTAAATGCACATTAAATACATTGAACAAAAGTATAACGAGTCATTCATTCCTTTATCAGAAAATGTTTTAGTAGAGATTGTAGTAATTTAATATTTGAGTTCGTGAGTCAGTTAAAGTTAGACTTGCATGGAAAATCTGGAAGCACTAGATGGCCATTTCGTCCTACTGAAGACAATGGTGAACGATGGTGCGATTTTGTGGATTGGTTGAAGTTAGACATTAACACTGTTGGATGCCGACTTAGTGGTCTAGACGTTCTGGGTTCGAGTAGTAGGTTCGGCATCGAGGGTGCACACTGCTGAGGAGTCCCATACTACGAAGAAATGGTCGTCCAGTGCTTCTAAGCTTTTTATTATGGTCTAGCTCTAATTAAATCATGAACTCAACCATTCATTCCTTTATTCAGCTAGATGAAAAGAAAACAAACTTTCTTGTTCTAACTATTTAAGTGAATTGAAGTTTCAGTATTACAACAACAACACCAATAGAGAAATAGACTAGATAATAATAATTGACTCAAATTTCACTATGTAAACTAATCTATGAACAAGACTTTTCTTATAATTAAGAGCATTCTATATATTGAAATAAGGTCAGATGAATATCAATTTAGTGAAGTTTCCTTTGATTTAAAAGAAGTCAATACTACATTTTGTTCTACTGAATTTGATTACATAATACATACATTACAGATATACATACATATTGAATGTGTACATCATCAAATGAAATTCATTATCATAAAAGTTGTATAGCTACAGTTTCAAATTCAAGTGTATATACATATATATATGTACAGTGTAAAGAATTCATTTGAATAATGACTGTCATTAGTATAGTACATATTTGAGGTCATTAAAGGATAAAACAGTAAGTACCAAAAGTATTAGTTATATAATATTTATAAAATATATCATGTATTCCATCTCTTTTCTAAATGATCAGTTTATGAGAGGAGTGACATGGTTGAGATTTGTAGCTCAGGTGGATGATTTTGTTAGAGTTTTGTTTTCTGAACTAGATGATTTGGTCGTGGATCTTTCATCAGCACGTCCACCTGAAGTTTGTGCTGATGATGTAGTTCAGAAGAATGATGAAAGATCTACGACCAAACCATCCAGTTCAGAGAACAAAACTCTATCAAAATGAGTGACATGTAGATAATAGAGTTGAAGAAATGGTATGAAGAAATTATACAGTGTATTCAATCATTTGTAATATATTACAAGATGGTGGTTGGAGGTAGTCAACAGGAAACCGTGAACTCTGGTTCCGTGCCACTTGGAACTCGTCAGCAAGGTGTACCTGTATTCTTGAGGGAACTTGTGCTCCCTGACGGATTCGACCCCATGTCACGCAGCTTCACAACCAGAGACGTTACCACTGGGCTATCAGGACCTCATGGAGGACTGAGATGTAATCACATTTGATGGTGATGATCAATGTCATGTGTATCAAGTCCTTCTTAATGCTGATCGAATGCTATCGACCAAGCTGCAATGTGGCCACTAGTCTAGGTGACTCGACAGTGCGTGTACTATGTTGAGAACGGGGTGGGTTTGCATGCATATAGCATACAATCATCTTTGAACCTAGAACACAACAATACCGTCATGCACTGTCCCATTTCCCTTTGCAGATCAGGCAACCCAAAAATCACGAGAATACCTCAGGGCATACGACTGACTAGATATCCCATAGTCTTCTTTTAGCTATTATTAACTATCAAATATCAATTACAGGATGCCGGGATAATGAATTATTTAGTTCACTTTTTTTCAATCCAAACTAAACGAACAGAATCTTGTCAACAAATCGGATTACGCAGTGAAGATCCCCCTTCTGCTTCTTGTTAACAGTAATAATTAATGTCTCAATCACAAATTTTCTAGTCTCCTCACATTGTGACAACTCTGATATATATATACAAAATAGTTGATTCCATTATGAACCTAAGTGAACCAGTATGATGTGAAAAAAGTTTTTATTGATAGTTTCATTATAAGTTGGACCCGCGGAAATCTTTCAAGTATGTTCACTTAATTTCTTTAAAACAAAGTAATTCATATACTTACTAGTGGTTAAAGATTACTGAAGAAGAATTCGATAATATGATCAACGAGTATTGATTGTTAAATTAAGTGAAAGGATTTCAGGTCAGCAGACGAATGCAATGAAGTGATATGGTCGGGGTGATGGCAGTTCATGAAATTGGATTATTTAATAAAATCTTCAAATTGACTGATACCAGTGATTAGATCAGTAGGCTCATGAATAAGTTTTCGTCTTACTAAAACAATTGCTAAAAAACGCTAACCAGAATAAACAAATTAAACCATTTAAACTTTGTCCACCAAGTTGAAGGAAGGATTATGACGCCTCATGACGAAAGCCGATATTCTTCGAAGGTCACAAGACTGATGCCCCTTCTAACAATTAGAGCTACAACCCATAAACAATCTCTAAATACGATGGTATTCACTTACTATTCTTTCCTAACTTCTGTAATTCAATTTTAAAAAATTCTTTTGATTAAGATCATGAACTGATTGATGAGGTATATACCTGTCTCTACCTGACACAGATTAGCTCCACTGGTCACGGCTTCTCACTAGAAATCCGAGAATTCCCTCACGAATCTAGTCACTAGTGAGCACATACTAATCATCAGTATGCGCAGTTCCGTGGATTGGTTGAGATTAGACATTAACACCGTCAGATGCCGGCTCAGTGGTCTAGAGCTTAAGTGTTCGCGCGCGAGCGGAATCGTGTATTCGCACTACTGAGAAGTCCCACACTAGGACTAAACGACCGTCCAGCGCTTCTATGTTTTCAATTTGTTTATGAACAATTTATTAACAGAGAAATAACATCATTAGACATTAACAGATAACATCAACTTTATAGGTCACTCATTCGTCAACACATTAAAGTCTAACTATAGTCCTCATTGATGCTAGTCATATCAGATACTTAACTGTCGTTCATTCATCGTTTGAATGTCATAATAACATATCTCGAACTCTATAATAATAATTATATTTACCGGTTTCAAATATAACTAAATAATATCAGAAAAGGTTTTGTGGATATTATAATCATTTCAGTAGTTGAGATCATGAATTAATTGAAGCTAGACCACTACCATGGAAAACCTGGAAATACTGGATGCCCATTTCGTCCTATTGTGGGATTCCTCAACAGCACGCATCCACAACCTCACCTCGTCGGATTCGAACCCAGAACCTTACTGAATGAACTTTTCTTCACCACCAACCCCGATTATTTTCACAAGACGAACTGACTTCTATTTTTCTAATATGAATTATGTGGTTGTAAAAAAGTACACATCAAAGAATCACCAAGTTAATTCTGTAACCAACCAACAAAATACTTCAGTCGTTTTTTTGTTCTTCAACAGATACTTATTGGAAGGTTTGTTGTTGACTTTTGTTTCATTCAAATTTATTATTATGATGATGATGATTGCTTTCTTTGTATTGCCCATCATCTACCATATATATATATGTCTTAACATTAAGATTTCTAATTCCATTTTCTAGGCGTTTTTTTTCTTTTATGTTGACTTTTTTTATATTCGAACCGTTTAGATCGCATAGCTTTCTACTATGTGTGTATATGACTTTATGTATGCATATATGTATATGTGGGTATGTCTACGTTTGTCACTGATATCTCCTTTACCTTGCCTAGTATAGTATCATTTTACCCTCCCCCCTTTATTCGTCAGTCCATTGGGTCATTACCATTAGTAGTAGTAGTGAAGTAGTAGTAGTAGTCGTAGTAATAGTAGTAGTAGTAGTAATAGTAGTAGTAGTATATAAGACTTGTTATTCTATATTTAGCTAAGACTGATTGTATGATTTTATATTGGTAGTATGAATAGAGTTTCTCTGCCCACTCTCTCACTTTTTTTCGGATTTGTATTAGTAGGGCAAATGGGGTATGGATCAGCCCTATTCAATTGAAACATATATAAATGTTTTGAAACATATGGGTTAATAATGGAGAGAAAGACAGTCTAACAAGTCTACTATACATAGAGATAAAAAACAACAGACATGATAATATGTAGGCTGAGAAGGATTTGTGGAAGGATAAAAAGAGATAGAGAGAGAGAGAGGTGTGGAGACAGGGTCTATACGAAAAGAGCCTGACCTTTTTTATTGATATTAAATCCAATAATGCATAGAAAAATGAATTTGTTGGGCATGTTGTATGGTGGAAATAAAAACACATTAGTAATGAAGTTATGAAAAATACTTATAATAATTTAAGTAGTTTATAAGGGTTAATACTTACTTGATTGATATCATATCATTTTAACAACTATGAGATAGAAGTGATGGAGAAAAAAATCATCTTACTCCCGGAATTCTGTCTCCCGTGATGAAACATTGTGAAGTACGGAGTCATGCTCTTCACAGATGCTTCAGGTCCTCCTTGTTTACTAATGATATTGTCCAAGTACGTAAAACTTTCCACCTCTTCCAGAACATCTTCATCAATTATGATAGGGTTGGTGCTGCCCATATTGTATTTGAAGATGTTACTATTTCCCTTGTATATGTTGAGGCCTACTACTGCAAAATCTGTTGCTACATCGACTGTGTTCACCTGCATCTGTTGGTGTATATGAGACAGAAGAAATACGTCATCTTCAAAGTTCAAATCGTCTAGTTACATCCAATCTGTCCATTGTATTCCGGGCTTCCCCTGAAATATGGAGGTCATTAAATACGAATATCTCCATCCTCCTAAATTATTTTCATCATTTGTATAATTTAGTAA